AGGTCTTATTTCCTTGTTACTCTTATTTCCAAACAAGGGCAGGGCCACAGATAACAGAGTTAGGATTCGAACTTACCTTTTGGGTGGGAGCGGGGCACAGTTTAACCCTTAGCAGGAATGTCATCAGCCCTGACTGCTGGGTCAGCACTGAGCTGCGAGTCCAAGGGATCCCCATCTGGGGGTTCCCCATTTCTCAATGTCTCAGGCTCCCAGTTGGGAGGCTGTGGGGAGGACCCTGGTACCCCTTTACCCTGGCTCCCACTGTTTCAAATTAAACTTTACAGAGCTCCATTTCCTCCTTCCAGTACCCTGTTTGGATTTTTTCTTTTTAATTCAGGGAAGAGGCAGGTGGGAGAGTGGGGAGATGGTGTTGAAATTAAAGCCCCATAATAGGAGAAAATGACAGTTTTGTCTCCAAGACAGGAGTTTCATGAAGATAATGATTGTCATTATTCGTCCTATCTTTGTAACGAACGTTGTTTTTATTATATGCTTTCTATCTTCATCTCCCAACTGGAGGGCTTCTGGGGGGCAGGCAGGGATGGTGGGCCCTGGGCCTGGGGGGACAGGACAGACGTGTCTGCGTTTGAACATGTGTGCGGCTTACTGAGCTCCATACCTGTCACCTGCCCAGCTGGGCTTCAGCCTTCTCTCCCCTCCCTGTCATGGTCCCCACCTCTCCTCCCCCAACGGTCTGCTTGCTCACCTTGAGGACCAAGAAGGGGACAGTAATGGTGGGATTTTAGGCAGAGGATCAAAAGTGCCTTCTGCCTCGACATGCAGCTTGGGGGATCTGGGTGTCCCAGATGGAAATCATTGTGTGTCCAAGAAGGCCCAAAGGTGGGGGTAGTTACCTGGAGAGCAGGGTCCCAACCCAGAGGCGGCCTCTTTGTCTCCACTGATGTTTTGCTCATTGAAAACAGACAGGCTTTCTCCCCCTCCCCCATGACCTCTCATCCTCACCCTCTGCTGCTCTGGAATGAGGTGGAGTGGAATACAAATTCCTCCAGTATCTTGGGTCAGAACTGGACAGAGGGAGGGGCAGGAAGTGTGTACAGATGGATTGCTAGAACACAAGGAGCAATGTGTTTGGGGCTTTGATGTATGAAGAGGAGTTTTATGGATGGCTCTCCACCTGCAGTCAGGGTTGGGCCTTCTGTATAGGAGTGGAGTGGGGGTACAGCCCTAGCAGTTCATGAGCATAGAGGGCCTTCTACCCTACTAACCCAACCCTCATCCCCTCTTCCAGCTGCTACTCCCCCGAATGCTGTGGATCGGCCCTGCCTGCGACTGAAGGTTTATGTCAGACCAACCAGTAAGTGCTCAGGGTCTGGGCCCCCACCCCTGTTTCCTCAGTCCACAAAGCTCAGTGAGGGGGTCAGAAGAGCGGGTGGGGGGTGGGATGGTCAGAGCCTTGCCTTCAGGGGGCCGGCACCACCTCAGCAATGGTTGGAGCAGGTCCTGCCCACTGAGTCTCCATGTCCCCATCTGCACATCAAGACCAGGGTTCAGACCTTCAAGGTCGTGGCCAGGCCCCTGACCAAGGCCTTGTTCTTTGCCCCTGTCTAACTGGTAAACCCTCCACATGTGAAGCAGAGGTTTCTCCAGCTGCCTTGTGACTTCACCTGGCCAAGCCTGCTAGACAGAAGCCCACTCCTGTGGCACCCATTCTTGTGGGGTGGGTTGTGGTGAGCTGACGGGAAGCAGGGCACGGCGCAGCCACCTCAGGGAGGGGACTTGGGCGCTGGGCGAAGGTCTGCCTGCTGGGGCGGCACACTCACTGCCTGCACAGCTGTGTACCTGACCTCCCTGTCTCTGCACTCCACAGACGAGAGCCTATACGAGGCCCCGGAACCTATCTTCACCAGCAATAACTCCTGCGGTAGCTTGGGCAGCTGCCACCTCGTCCTCAGTACCGTCCCTGTGCTCTGGACCCTCCTGGGCTCCTAGTGCTGGCCCTGAGGATGCTGGCCTCACCTCCGAGACCAAATAGAGAGCCGTTTCTCTTCTGGTGCTGCCCCACCCCCACCCCTAGGGGACCAGCTAATGCCCACAAGGATGGGGCATGGGCTCCACCCCGGGCCAAGCCATCTCCTCACCGGGGGTGCCCTAGGAACTCTTGGCAACGTTTCTGGTGTTTGTTTTTAAGTATCTTTTCATGGTTGGATTGGAGAGACTTAAGTTTTTAATTTAATTTATTCCCTGCTATCATGGATGACTTTGGGAGGAAATAGTTGGGGCGGTGGTCCCCAGCCCCTCCTGGAAGGGAGTCAGGGGACAGTCAGGCTGCTTCTCGCTGCCTCGTACCCCATGTGCTGGGTCCGGCTTGAGCCCGCCTTGAATCCTAGTGCCCTCGGGACCTTCCTGCCTGCCCCTGGTTCAGCCCATCCCTCCAGCCCCACTCTCAGAGTGGAAACCCACCACATCTCACCAAAGGCACCACCATCAAGCCCCCAGTCCCCCTTAGAACCACAGCGCCCCATGTCTTATAACCCGCTTTGGCCAATGCAAACACGCTCCCTTCCTTGCCCCCCCACCCCCACCTCAGCCAACCTGAGACCAAGAAGATGTTATATTTCTGTAAATAGAGCCAGCAAGTCTATACTGTGATTTATTTTTAATGTATTCCTGAGGATGGATTGAAACATTTTTGTTTTTCCCTTTGGCCCAGCCCCTTATAGGGGACTTTTATTTTGTTGGGGGGACGGCTGGGGTGGAGTTTTTAGAATAGCAGCTTCACTTCGCAATAAGCTCGTTTCGTCTGTCGGAGCCCCCCTCCCTCGACTCTCCGACCTAATAATGTTTGTAAGAAAACAATGAAAACCTAAAGAAGAAAAGAAAAGGAAGGGTACCACCACCAAACAGAGAAACCCTCCACGAAAACACTTGAATGACGTAAACAGCTTGTTTATACAGATTTCATATTTCTACCCACCTTTCCTGACTCTGTGTTTTATATATATTATATATAAATATATATTGTGTACGGCCGCTGGGGGAGGGCTCAAAGCACACCAGGTGATGAGGGGCAAGGGAGGGCTTTTGTAGGGGTTGGTGAGGGTGGGCAACGTCGTCATGCCTGGAGCTGGCGTTGGGGCCTCCCCTCCCCCCACCACAACCAACTTTGGATTCTGTATTTTTTTATAATAAAATGAGCATAAACTCAAGGCATGTGTGTGTCTGTTTGGGTGGGGCAAGCATTTGGAATTACGAATGTGGGGGTGGGTCTGGGGCCTTCTGGGGAGGACTATTTGTAAGGAATTTCAGTGCTTCTGAGACTCAAGGATGGTAAGACTTCATCTCATTGTACTTTGGATGTGTTATCAAGAGAGTCCGTCCCTGGTAAGTAGAGGGTCAGCGGCAAAGAGAAGACCCCCAGTGAGAAGGATTGGCCCACGGTCTGCTACTATGGGCTCAAAGGTGGCAAGGATTGTAAGGTACTCGGCTGCCATCCGACATACTAGTAGTTCAAACCCACTAGCTGCTCCGATAGATAAAGACCTGGTAGTCTGTTCTGATCAAGATGGCGGCCCAGGAAACCTTACAGTGACGTTCTCTGTTACACGCGGTCGTCCGTTCCCAAATGTTGCCATAAACAGGTCACTGTCCCCTGCCTTTATTAAAACAAACAATGACGTATCAGTCACAATCGAAACACTTAGGACTGACTGATTTTGTGCACGATTTGGGGGCCAGGCACCTAACAACACCATCTGAAGGTGCCCATGGGCCTCAGTTTCCTCTCGGAAATGGAGAACCACCTGCCCCCTGGTGGGTAGAGGCAAAACATGGGGCTGGCATGTGGTCAGCTCTGGGTAGACAAGGGTTTTCATTAAGTGCCCAGCCCTCTGCGCTGACCCTGGGCTTGGGTCTGGACAAGCGTCTCAGATTTGATGCCAGCTTCCAACACTGTGTGACTTAATTCCCCCACCTGCCCCTGGCCAGAGGTGGTTCAGTGTGCCAAGTCTCGGTTGCCTTCTGCTTTTGCAAATGGTGCACCTGTGGGTCCTGAACCTTCACCCCTTGTCTGGTCCCAGATTGGGGAAACTGAGGCACAGAGGCTGGGCCTTGCTGGCATGACTGGAAGTCCAGGGTACCCTCAGCTGACCATCACCCGGCCCTACTTGTGGCGACTCCAGCGTCTCAGGCACAATTGGCCAGGAGGAAAGCCATACAGCTAATTAATTCGGCCGTGCCCGATCTGCTGACGGGGACTGCCTCCTAATGAGATCGGGAAGCCGCACAAAGACCTCTGTGTGTACCCGCCCACCCCTGCCCAGTGGCAGACGGATGGACCGACGGTAGATTGAGCGATGAGGCTCAGAGATGGACGTCTGTTTCCCAGGTCCCTGTGTCCACTCACCCTGAGCCCTGGGTCCAGCCACGCCAGCTCCACCACAGCGCACGGGGACTTGGAGCAAGATGCAGGACGGTGGTCAGAGCCACAGCAGCTGACTTTTTGACTTTGCTATTTTTTAAAATTGTGATACATATTAAAAAACAAACGATGGCCATCAAGTTGATTCTCTCTCAGAGGAAAAGGACTGAGCTTCCCAGGGCTTCCACCAGGCTTTGTCACCAAAAGTAGATCACCAGACTTCTTGTCCTAGGTGCCTCTGAGTGGACTTGAACTTTCAATCTTTGGGTTAGTCGCCCATCCTGTTTTCAACAATCTTCACACATTAATTATGTTCATCATGTTGCTTAACCATCAACCTTACCAGTCTCACGTTTTCCATCACCCATAATAGAAACTCGGTGTTTCTGACTTGATTCTCGCAAAAGCAGCATTTATTAAGCTTGAGTTCACGTATCTTATCACTGACCCATTTAAAGTATAATTCTGCGTGTCTTACTCGATTCACACTTATATAGTCATCACCCTAAAGGAGACCTCTCAGTCCAGCAGCAGTCAGCCCCCACGCCTAGCCCCGGCAACTCCACATCCACTTCTGGTCTCAGATTTGCCTGTTCTGGACATTTCATATATGGTGTATGTGTGGCACTGTGGGTGAATGCGCTGGACTGTAACGCCATTTTGCATCTCAAGGTAAGTGGTTCAAGCTCACCAGCTGTTCCTCGAAAACCCTATACAGAGTCGCTGTGGATCAGAACAGACTTGATGGTACATCTCTCTGAACATCCTGTTTTCCAGGTTCATCCAAATTGTAACCTGAATCACAGCTTTGTTCCTTTTTATGGTTAATATCCCATTGTATGGATGGATCACACTGTGTTCATTCTTTCATCTGTTGGTGGACACTTTCAAGCTACTGAGATGATTTTGACACAAAGCCTTAACACAAAAGGTAAGATATTTGGAAGACTCAATACAAAAGTATTTTTCCCACCTCAGGGCCTTTGCACAAGCTGCTCCTCTGAGTTGGTACCCTCTTCCCATAGACCAGAGCTCTGCTCTCTCCCTCCCTCCCCTTGGCTTCTCCCAGTCAAGCAGTCACTTGAACAATGCCCCTTTCTGTCCCCTCTTTTCAATTCTTCACATGCACAGACCCTAGGTACATTCCTGTGGCGGTCCTCCCTCCCAACTTCTGGTCACTAGCTCACACAATGGCCACTTCCTCCGGGGGCTGCAGCTCACCGTCCCTGCAGGAGTGGGAGGGGGTTTTCCAGGCAGTGTCTTTGGGGGGCGGGGTCCACAGGCAGTGTCACAGGGGTGGGGGTGGGGCTCTCCAGGCTGTATCACCATAGGGGGGGCTCCCCAGGCAGTATCATGGGACACTTCGCCTTCTCCCAGGACTAGCCTTCAGTGTTCCTGTCCCATCAGGACCTGCGGCGCCTCTTTCGTACAGATTCCACAGGGAAGCGATTTTCCTCCTGCAACCATGTTACTACCACCTTGGTGCACCTGTGGGCAGGGAGTCAGGTGCACAATGATGGGCACAGGCATTGTGCTGGGGAGCCGAGGGTCTCCAGGGCCCCAATGGCAGCTCTGGCACTGGGGTCCCCCAAAATCCCCCTATAGAGCCCCATAGAACTGCCTCACTCCTTAGACCTCCACAGAGATACTTTCCCCCTCAAACTCCGGAAGGCTGCCTTCTCACTGTGACCCCCACAGCAGCTTGTACCTCCCTCATCAGACCCACCCAGCCCTGAGCGCCGGTCATTGGTTTTCTTGACTGGGATGGTCACTCCACAATTACAGCCAGCAGCACATAGCCCCCTGCCCTCTGAGCCTCAGCATACATATCGCCGTTTGAGGCAAAGACCCCGTTCTCGGGTCCTACTCCGACCCTCCCCCCTTCTGGTCATCACCCCAAGCCTCCAGTGTTCCTCCAACCCACTGAGTTTTCTGGCTTCTGGGCTATGCACAGTCTCCTGATGGTACTACAGGAGCTGAGTCGGTTTCAGGTCATAGCGACCCTGTGTAGGGTTTGCTCATCTTTCTCCCACAGAACCTGCTGGTGGATTCAAACTGACCTTAAGGTTAATAACCCAGCTTGTAACCCACAATAGTACCCGACTCCTCTGGTAGGCGCTCTACAATGCTTGTGAAATTTATGTAGAATCGGCATGACCACAAAAGAGAAGTTAACACAAGAATTGTGTGGACCAGGGCACTGTAGTTTAGTGAACATCTACAGTGTGTGATCAGCACTGCCTCCTACCCCGTCTTCAGGGTCAGGGTCAGGACAGTGGGGCCTGCCCAGGTGGCCTCTGGGGCCCATATTGGGGGGACCTGTGGGTCTTGGGAGGGAGGGGGTTGCAGCGTAGGGGAAATCGGTGGCCACACTCACCGATGGACAAATACAAATGGAGTTCACAGGATGGGAGCTCCATGGAGTCCTGGCCACACAAACTAGAAATGAAATGGCTGTAGTGGGCTCCATGTGATCAGCAAGAGGAGACAGTCGGGGGGGAGGGCGGGGGGGCGACCCTTTCCGGCCTCAGTGTTGCCCTCTGGGAAATGATCACTAGGACTAGGGAGGGGG